ATCCCCGGGGACGGGAACCCCCCACCGCTCAGGGCCCCGTCCCAGGGATGCCCCGCTCGCACGGGAAGGGGCTCTTGCCCTGGGACCAGCGGGGGTTCCCGTGCCGCGGCAGCACCGGTGCCCCTGGTCTCTTTCTGACCCAACCATAAACCAGAAATGAGCAATACCCCTTGTCCCTAACAGCCAGGTTCATACTGCAGCATTTAGAAGTGTATTAATTCAATTGCTGATGCACATGTGCTAAACACTTTGCTTAAATATTGCTTAGGTTTCTTAAAAAACAACGTCTGTGTCTAAACTGCTGCAAATTTACAAAACCGAGGAAGTTTTTATAGCTTGGGAAGACGGGCAATAAAGTGATGTCAAGTTTGAAATCCAGCAAAAAAAAAAAAAAAAGCTGAACTGCACACAAAAACAACGCTTGGAGTTGTAAGACTGAGGTTTCTCCCCTGCTCCATCCATGATGCATTTTAGCAAGGCCAACAAGTTGATCTAAGGACATGAAGAGAGCCCTCATTTTGAATTTCCATACTTTTTATTGGCTTAAATGAAAACCAGACTGCTGTTTTAACGTTGTGTATGAAACCACAAAAAAACTATTAATTTTTCCCCTTCCAACAAAAACGGTTAGGATGATTTTAATAACATTTTGGAAAAAAAAAAACAGCTTTCAGACCACAGAATTGTCCAGCGCACAGGAATCAGCCAGAGAGATATTTTTAAAGCAATGCATGAAGACATGAAAATCTTGTATTTTCCACTGAAGAACCCAGCTACAGCTGCACTGCAAATGCCGCTGAAGCAAACGTCCTCTGGAGACTTCGTCACATCAAAGCAAGGGGCACGCACGCCGTATTTGCTGTTTCCCTAGGCACTGACAGCTGAGCGGATTACTTATCTGCAACACTCAATAAATACAGTAAGGGCCTTTTATCTGCTGTTCCAGTCCTTTAACGTCACCTCGCTGCCTCGCTCATGTTGTGGGAAGGAGAGGACCCAGAGATCCCATTAGGGCCAGCCCAAGAGTGCAGAGCCAAGGCTCCGGCTGGCAGGCGGGGAGCACGGGCTCCGCGCCACCCGGGAGCCCAGGACCGAGCCCAGCCCGAGAGCGGGGAGCACGGGCTCCGCGCCACCCGGGAGCCCAGGGCCGAGCCCGAGGGCTGAGCCCAGTCTACCATCGCAGAGGCCAGGGAAGCAAAAATAAACCCAGGTGCTCTGACAGCCAAGAACCGACGGGGACGATCGAGGTCTAATCCAGGCGTTTAGTCATTTGCCAGCAAGGAAGGGAGGGGATGGCAACAGGCATCGTTACCTGCAGAAAGGCACCGCGGGAGCGAGGTAGCACCTGGATCGTTCACCACCAGCTTGTGGCAGTTGACGGCAAGGGCCAGACCTCAAACTACAAGTCTGAGCAAGCAGAGATGGGGACAGGACACGATGGGTCGGTGAAGGATTAAGGTCAGTCTGGTAACCGAGACAGACAGGATACCCACAAGCTCGCACGACGTCCCACAGACCTGTCACTGGAGGTCACAGCTGCTGGGGACAGCGAGAAGCCACATTCAGAACTGCAGGGAAAAGCAGATGCTACAACATGAGATGCATTTACAATAACACTTGTTTTGGAAAGTTCTGCTATTCCTAAGTCAGCACTTTGAAAAGCTTGTGGGTACTTATCTCGCTATCGGGTCACCACACGATCCCGGCGCTCGGCTGGGATGCTTGTATCCAGCTCTCACACGCATGTAAGGACGCGTGGGCAAGCTCGGGTGAACAAACCGAGGTCCTGGTTTGGAAGACTTCCAGGGCGAGAGGGAAAGCGCTCTTTCCTTCCTGCACCGCCCCGTCCCACCGGGTGGCACAGAGCACGCTGCACCCTGACAACGGCAGCTCCGGAGACAGCGAGCAGCCAGAGCCTGTGCTCCTGCACACAGCTACGGCCGGGCACGTTCAGAACCACCTATAGGTATGGCCAAGGGAACTGTAAACCTAGAGACATCCAGGCATCGCTGCCACCAACGCACTAAGAAAAAGAAACCTATTGCGGTGCTTTTGGGGAATGACTGTGCTATTAAAGCAGCAAAATATGAGGATGCAGGACTTTTAGCTTTTTCTTTTAGGAAAAGATCACTCTTGGAAGTCTCCACTTCTTTTACTGAAAACTCCTTATTCTAATAACCCAACAGCTTTAACTTTGGTGGGAATGGTGTCAGAGCCTGGCTGGAGCTTTGTGACTTTCCAGCG